CCTTTTGATCAATTACAAGTGTTCTGAAATTTTTTTAAAAAGTCTATTACAACAAAACTTTTTCTGACTCTAAACCTATGCTTTTCCAGTTTTTTCATACTGCCTTGGCTTTACATGTGAGCCTCCAGGATTAAGGGATAAACTGGCTGAGTGATGAGTATGTGTCCATGCAGTGTTATGCCCATATAGTTGGATAACACTTATCTTAGCCCATGTGGCCAGTGTCTGCAGACAGTTGAATATAGAGCCTCAGGAGAAAAGTCTGGGGTGGATAAACTGATTTTGGGCTAGCACAGTCTGATACACAGTAAGCATCCAGTGAATATTTGTTGAATGAGTCAATAAATGAAATGTAGATTTGGGAGCTCTGGCAAATACAGCTGAGGGTGCATCTTGCTGGTATTTTTCTATAATTATGTATTTTTAAAAGCAGAATTAGGAATCAATTTCATAAGGTTTTTTGAAAATTATGTTTACTGCTATTTTATTTTTGAGAAATTAATATCACTTTGTAGGAGAATATTTAGAAATTAATTATGAAATGCCACCTTGTGACCAAAGACAGAAAATACAGCGTTTCTCACAAGGGAGAGTGGCACCGAGGTAGCATAGAAAGGGGTAGCTTCTCAGCTAGTAGTACCCTCAGAGGTCTGACACACCAGGTTCTTCTCAGAAGTAAGTTGGAACAGAAAGGAAACAAGGAACTGGAAGAGCCAACAGGCCCTATCTCAGCTAAAGAGATAGGAGAAATAGAATTATACTACTTTCACCTTTATGATCCTTTTCTAATTGTAAAAACTCCAGATGGGGCACCTGGGTGACTCAGTCGGTTAAGCATCTGCCTTCAGCTCAGGTCATGATCCCAGGGTCCTGGGATGGCACCCCGCGTCCCGCTCCCTGCTCAGCAGGGAGTCTGCTTCTCCATCCCCCTCCCTGCTCCCCCTTCGCATTCTCTCTCAAATAAATAAATAAAATCTTTAAAAAAAAAACACATGTTCATTGAAGAAGTTAAAACTGGAAATACAGAGAAGGATAAAGATGAACTTATAAATTTCCCATAATAATACCATTTAGAAATATTCACTTCAAATAGTTTGATATTTCTCTTTAACCTCTGTGTGTGTGTGTGTGTGTTGCCGCTAGCTTTTTCATGAAACAGTATGATGGTCAGAAACAGCTTTCCATGTCAAAGAGATGTTTCTACATCATGTTTTGTAATTCATGAAAGTGAGATTTTCTTCATTATTTCAAATTTTCAGGCAGGTAACTAAGTAATTGGAAATGTGGAAGGAATTTTTTTTTCATCCTACAATACACAAAAGGGACCAGAATGCATAAATGTTGTAAATGTATATAGGATTCAAATATTTCTCTTATAATTCCTAATGAATGACAGTTACTCCATTTGGTTTATGTACTATTTGCTACTTAGTTTATGTAAAATTTGCTACTAAGGGATAAGGTTGAATGAAAGAAACGAGAATAGACTTTTCTTTTGGAAGGGTGATAAGGAGTCAAGGAATCACAGACTTTGAGTTCTTATTTGAATATAATCTCAGGATCATCCGATAATGATGATGATGATGATGATGATGACACTTGATAATGATGATCAAAGATCTAACATTCTCTAAGGGTCTGTTGCATGCCAGGAATTTCATATAGTTTTCTGCATTTACTTCCCACAATAGTCTTATGGGTTTATGTAAGGTTAAACTCATTTTAGAGATGAATGAACCAATCTGGATTCACACTTCTTATAAGCAGAGAATCCAATTCTAGCCAGTGCTTTCCCATTATATTGGCCTCACCCTTTAGATGATGGGTTTCCAGGGCTTGCCCACTGATCCTTAGAAATCTTTACAGTATGTGGCCTGTGCCTAACAGGAATCCATTGAATATTCACTCAATACCATTCCTTGATGATGATAATGATAATTATGATGATAACAGCAATGATGGTGGTGGAGAAGAAATTTTCTCTTTGATCTAGAGTTCTATTTCCAGGGAGCCCATGCATGGCCCATTTCAAAGATAGTAGGTGTCCTCCAAGAAAAAAAAAAAAGATAATTTGTGATTTATGCAACGTTACATGTTGTAAGGGGAAGAGCCAAGATTGGAACCCAAGTTTTTCTGGTTCTAAGGCTGTACACTTAATCACTTTGCCTTCCTAAACCCAAGAATTTGAATTTTATCTTCACCTTATTGCCCAACCAATCTTTTAGGATATCAAAAAAAAAGTGGTAATAATTCCTCAGATGACAGACCTAAAGAGCAAGGGTCACAATTGCTCCTCCACCATCAATGCTTTCAAAAACATCTTCTTACCAATTCACAGCTTGACTGCGCTGGCCCCCAAGTTTGAGGCCGGGTCTGCAGTGCAAGGGTGTTGTTCAAACAGAAGGTGATGTCCCCTTTCTCCTGAACTGTAGGACCACATGCTTTTGCAAGCTTCCTTTGCCCGGGGTTTCCTATATCCCTGAGCCTGGGCTCATGCAGACATCAGAAGTATGACACCAAGCACACACAGAGCTAAAGGCACCAACAGAGGCCCTTCTGGGAGTCTGAGCAAGGTAGGTGGGAGAGGAATGAGGGAGGTCTTGTCTGAGATCTGTCCTCATTTTCACTTCAATTGTTTTCGGAGTTCCTTCACTGGACTCTGAGAGAAGGGTCAGCCTCTTTTGCTTTATCTCCAAGTTACCTGGTCAGACCCAGTTCATACAATTGTTTAGCCAAAGACTATCATGACCCATGTTTCCAGTTAGGAATCTTTGGGGCTTTATCTTTTCCCTCACACGAAGTTCCCCAAAAGAGAAAGGGAGAAGAAAGGAAAGGCAAAGTGCTCTGACCTGCAATGAGGACAGTCGTTGTCTTCCAACTATGTCCAGGACAGGCCATTCATCAGGTTAGGAGAGTCTGTGCCTGCTGCAGGCTGGAGCAGGGAAACCATAGTCAGACCCACCCTGCGGAGGAGTGTGACTTAAGTGAGCCCTTCCACAGCCTACCTGAGCACCAGCCCTCTGAGCACTAGGAGAATGGATTCATCCTGTCTTGTCAAACTGGTACAGTTAGTCTCTGGAATTTCAGCTCACTCCAACCAGAGTCCAGCCCAATTGGCACCCATCAGGCTGTTGCAACCTTGAAGAATGGTCTGAAGACATGAAGATCCCCCAAAATGACATTACACAATGGAAAAAATGAAAACAAAGCCAAAGGGCATAGGACTGGCTCACCATTTTGTGTGATCACAAAAAGAGAATTTGAATACATTTTACTCATATTGGAAGGAGTGAATGCATGGCCAAACATGGTGTTGTCAAGAAAAGTGCATCTAATATTACATTCCCTCATCTTTTTATCTTGTATTTCTTTATTAAAGGAAATCTTTCAAATGCTATGTATAAATCTGTCAGTCTTTTCATAGTTAAAAAGATAAACACGGTTATAGGCCTTCTGAATTTCAGTAAACATTCACCAATATTGTCTTCTAATTAAAGTTCATATTTGTAATAATGTAAAGCATACTGTATATACCAGTCATCCTCATGCTGCAATGTGCGTCATAATCATCTAGAGGAGCTTGCTAACTGTTACTTCTGTAGCCCACCTCCAGTCAGCGAATCCTAGGGTGGGCCCCAGAAATCAGTATTTTATTTTTTTTAGATTTTGTCAGAGAGAGTACAAGCAGGGGGAGCAGAAGGCAGAGGGAGAAGCAGGCTCCCGCTGAGCAAGGAGCCCGATGTGGGACTTGATCCCAGGACCCTGGGATCATGACCTGAGCTGAAGGCAGCTGCTTAACAGACTGAGCCACCCAGGCGTCCCCAGAAATCAGTATTTTAAAGATGCTCCCCAAGGTGGTTCTAATGCAGGTGATGATGCAAGACTTTGATGAAACATTTGGAGAGCAATCTATTTCATGCACTTTCTTTTTCGAAATGCTTGCCATAATGTTAGAGAAATAAAAAACTTGTGGAAGACTATTGAGTCAACAGCAAAATGTGGATAACACCAGCTCCTTAGTGATAATTAAATCAAGAAACCAATGAAATATTAAAACATGTCTCAGTTAAACACAAGTACATAGGACTATCAGGAGGTTCTATAGGGGAAGTTTTTTGTTCTATAGGGGAAATAAATACAATTCCTAACATTTACATAATAGCCTTTCTACTGGATTTGTAGTTCTTAGTGCCTTTGCAAGTTTTTTTTTTTTTTTCATGTTTTAACTTGGGATGGGATAGGGTGAAGGGACTATTCCCTTAGATCTGTTTCCTGTCTTATTGTGTGCAACTTATGGATATTCAGTCTTCTGAACCAGTAGGGCAGGCCTGCCAGGAACCTTCATGGACCGATCATCTCACCAGAGAAGGAAGACAAAACCTTAGTCCTTAGACCTAAGGCAACTCTGACTACCGCTGTTTTTTTTTTTATTCAAACTTGTACCTTGGTCCAACTCCCAAAATGGCCTCATCAGGTCTGACTCGTATTTAGAGGAGGGGTCCTGGGATTGAAAACAGAAGGGGCTGTTTTGCTAAGAACCCTGCAAGGCAGCATGGCCCAAGCCGTCTCACTTGTGTGAAGGGTCACTAGGAAGCAGAGAGGCTTCAGAAGACAGAGTAGGGGTTTGACCCACTGGGGAGTCCAGGAAAGTGAGTGGGTTTTGGCACCTGAGGACTCCGGTGCACCAGGAGCAGTGAGGGCCAGCAGAGAGCAAAGGGCCCAGCAGGCAGGGCAGAACCCAGGGGAGGAGGAGCGTGGGGCTCAACAGCAGATGACTGGCATGAAGCCCCCAGGGCCCTGCCTCCTAATGGACTTGTTCCTGAGCACAGGGAAGTCGTGTCAGGGCCCTCCCTCCAATAACTGATGCTCTGTGGTGGGTTGGGGTTCTGTATGCGCAGAGGGTAACCAAGCACAGCTCGGAGTCACCTCTTTCTTCCTGACAGCAGCCCTGCGAGGCAAATGTTTTCCCCGTGAAAAAGACGGAGTCTTAAGCAAGTAGATCTGTAATAATTGCCAGTTTTATTCCTCTGGCTAAGAGATCCAGAGGTAACTTGAGGTTTACATTTTTTTAATAGTTCTTCCATCAAGAGTTTAGGTGCCCCCATTGCCCTTAGAAGCTGGTTGCAAATTATTTAACTCTTACTTATAAAACTTCAATTCTTTGTGTGTGTGTGACATGTGTTCATGAAAAAATACATATAAGCAAAAAGAAAAAAGCTCACGCCACACAGAAATAAGCAGTTACGTTTCTGATATATGTTTGTATGTATACACACACACGCACACACGCGCACACAAATTTGGGATTTAATCCTACATATGTGAGCTGATACTAAATATATCGCTTTGTAACCTGTTATGTTTTACTTCACAATATATAATGAATATATTTTCATGCAAATGTGTGAAACTTTCCAATTGAAAAACAGACCTGGAGAATGGGTCAAAATACAAAATCCAGTGAGATGCTGATAACAAGGAAACTACCTAAAACAAAATTCCACCAGATGATTAAAGTAAACGAAGGTCAAAGATACATCAGAAAACGCTAACAGAAAGAAAGCAGGGGCCAGATTTTAATATCAGACAAAAAAAGAATTCAAGGCCTAAAGCACACAGGGTAAGGACGGCTGCGTGAATGTCTTTGCTTCCAATGCATCATCACAAACTTGTTTCTTACTCTTCTTATCTCTTCCCTAAGCCTTTCCAACTCATCTACTCCTCTTATCATTTCTTCAGGGTCCAAATGCCTCACAGGAGTGTCCTCTTTAAACCCCTGGCCAGGCTGGGTCAGCCCTCCTCTAAGATTTCCTTCTGCTTCCTGGCTTACACCTTCTTCGGAAGGTTGAGGATTTCCTTCCGCCTCCTGTGGTACATCTTCCGAAGGGCGGTCGGCCTCGGTCTTTGGCATGTTCTGTGGTTTTCCTTCATTTTCTTCACAAGACTTTTGCATGTTGAGTATTTTTCTGTTATTTCTTTTGAATAAATTAATCCTGGAAAACAAGGAAACAAAACAACTAGATGCCAGACAAACAGGCAGCCAAAGTATGGGTTCCCAGAGAGACTTGCCTCTTCTCATTCAGATCCCTAATTGTCAAAGTTTTCCAACTAGAGAAGGCTAGGTCCTCAGGCTAAGAACTCCCCTGACTCCACCCCTTCCTCCACCTCCCTTCCCTCCCCCTCTCGCTCCAGCTCCATCTTCCCTCCTCCCGCTCCAGCCCACCATTTCCCAGCAGGCCCTGCTTACAGGCCTCTCTTAGCCCAGCAACGGGAGCAGCGCGGAAGCAATTAACCCCCTCCTTAGACGCTGGTCTCCAATATTCCCGCCCTCTTGGGCTTTCCCAAGCCGTCCCAGTCTCCCGCCACTCACCTGAGATCTGCTGGTGCAGTCTCTAGCCTCCCCTCCCCCTTCCACGTCTCTCCAGCCTCCCCCGCCCCCGCCCCATTTCCGCTGCAGGCTCTGCAAAGGCCTCCAGCGCTTAATCCGGATGGGGAGAGGCTGTGGCGACCCCAGGATGTGCTCTGGTGTCATCCACGCACTCCCACTCCCACCCGCACCCCCACCCCCACCCGAAGGGACCTGAGGCAATTGCACCCTTACACTGACCTGCAGGGATCCAGGGGATTTTCCTGCCTCCTTCCCTCACTCGATTTGTGTCGCGCCCAAAAGACCAAAGAGTCCTGCAGACCGACAGGAGTGCTTGCTGAGCGAGCAGGCCAGTACCTGAATCACCGGTCCCTTTCATGATTCTAGGCCTTGTTCGTCTGAAGTTGTCCCACGTCCTCATCCTTTCCTTCCTTTTAAGGCAACCCCGCCCTCCCCCCCGGTTCCCTGCAAGCAGGGAGTGGGAGACGCCAAGTTATTTCCCAAATTGTTTCTCTCTCTCTCTCTAGGGACCCTCAATTGGCTACCCTTCTCCGTCTCCACCCCCCACCCCCACCAAACAGCCCCAAATTTCCTGCACAAAAATGGGAGTTTGGCGGGCTCTAATGTTGGGAAAACAGTGGCGACCCCGCCTGGCTACTGCTCTCTGGCTCCTAGACCCGAGGGTCCCCAAGGCAGCGCCCGCTTTTACACTGACCTGAAGGGATCCGGGGCACTTTTCTCCTTCTCCAGCAATACGGAGCTGCTACAGGGAAACAGGCCCTGGACGATAAGGACTTCTGCACACGTCGACTCCTGGTCACGTGAGGATCGCGTCATCAATGAGCTCCAGTCTTCAGTGACCCCTCCCATTTAACACTGCAGCCCGCCCCCTGCATTCCCTCCACTTGATACTGTCAATCTTTTTTCGTATTTGCCAATCAGAGACAATAGAACTGGTATCTTCTCCCTGCAGTTGCAATTCGCCTTTCTTGGATTGCCAGGGAGGATCAGCCTTTAGGGGTTAATCGACCATTTCTCCTTCTTTCGGGAATGATCTCTTTCTCTCTCTGCTTCGAATTTGCCCACCTCCCCTCCTACCCCAAGACCTACAGTCCACCATTTCCCCAGGAGTACCATCTAGCATTAAAATGGGCGAAGGTGGTAGATGGGGGGAGGGGTGGGGGTAGAGGTGGCTAGAAAAGACGTAGGAGTGAGAGTGTGGGATTTTTTTTTTACTAGTTCTCTTGAATTTTTTCATGTTTTAAGCATGATATTAAATGATCATGATGTTTTACAATGTTTTAAAAAGAGATGCCACATAATCAATATCTGACAATCTAGAGGCAAAATAGTTTTATCAATTTTTAAGATTTGGAAAAGTTTCCTAATGGCTACAAATGAAATGACAGTTCTCACAACACATTGATGTGTTAGAAAAAAAAATTTTTTTTACATCTTATTAAAAGAGCACCTTTAAAAAAAAAAAAAAGCTGACTCCCAGGTTAATCTGTGGCTTTTCTCTTGTTAGCAATTTTATATAAGTAATCCACTACTTTTTCTCTCTGGCTGAACTCAAGTTATCAACTGTTAGATGTCTGACCTTTTCATTGATGACTGCTGGATGGCTTCCACTTGGGTTTCAAATAGGCTTCAGACAGACCTCTTATGTCCTCTAGGATCTGATGCCTTGTTAATCAGATGAGTCCCCAGAAAAGCCTGCTTTCCTCAGAGTGAACTTTATTTTGGAACTCAAATAAATATGTGGGAAAATAGCTTTCATACACTCACAAAGCCCTCAGAAAGGAGAGAGTACCCTGTATCTCACCATTTGGTGTGAGGCTTATTAGCAGGTAGAATTTTCATTCATTCATGGCACTCTTGAGATAGTCTGGTATCATTCACTTTGTTCCATTAAAAAAGAGAACTATCAACATTCATAACTGTTATGATCAGAAGCAGAGAGAACATCATTGCTGTAAAAAAATATATATTAGTTAAAAGAGGAAACTGATATCCCAACAACCCATAATCCACTGGTACTTAGAAGTGTGTTGTTGCCAGAAATGACATTCTGGCCAGTGGAGCCAGCTGGAGAATCAGGAGGAGGAAGTGAAGGATCTTTTGTCTAGGATGGTCACAGTGGGATGCGGCAGCCAAAAAACAAAGCATGCCATAGGAAAGGAAGGGTTCAAAAAATAAATATTTTTGCTGACTTAATGTTTTATCATTTATATTTAAGCATCAAGAATTTATCCCACGGTTGAGGAATACATTTTCTATTATCCAAGAGAGAATTTTCAATGTAAATATAGCCAATGAATTGTAAAGATGTGATCCTTAACTACCATAAAATGTTTCCATTCATTCTTTTCTGATATTACATTTAATGGAGGAAAACTGATTTTTTAAAAATTATTATCATACAACAAAATTGGCCCTTTTTTGTACGTACAGTTCTGTGAAGTTTAACAAATGTATAGATTTGTGTAATCACCACCACAATCAGGATGCAGTTCAATCACCTCCTCCAAAAAAACTCCCTCATGCTACCCCTTTGTAGTCATATTTTACCCCCTTCTCTGAACTCTGGCAACCACTGATCTATTCTCAATTCCTATAGTTTTGTCTTTTTCAGAATGTTACATAAAAGAAATCTATGATATATCACATTTAGAGGCTTCTTTCACTCAGCATAATGCCCTGGAAAGTCATTTAAACTGTTTCATGTAGCAATAGCTCATTCTTTGCTTTTTGCTAAGTAGTATTCTGCTTTATGGATGTTCCAGTTTATTTGTCCATTTACCCACAGGACATCTAAGTTGTTCCTAGTTTTGAGTAATTATGAAAAGAGCTGCTATATACATGTGTGTACAGGTTTAGGACCTTATTGTCTCACGCCTGACTCAGGGGAACTCCTTCTCTGACCTATCTGCGTTCAGTGCCTCCCTCTCCAATTTACCTTACACGTTACCATCAAATTAAACTTTACTCTTCCTTATTCTTTTTTTTAAGATTTCATCTATTTATTTGACAGAGAGATAGACAGAAGAGCACAAGCAGAGGGAATGGCAGAGGGAGAGGGAGAAGCAGGCTCTGCACTGAGCAGGGAGCCCGATGCGGGACTCGATCCCAGGACCCTGGGATCATGACCTGAGCCAAAGGCAGACGCTTAACCATCTGAGCTACCCAGGCGCCCTACTCTTCTTTATTCTTAAAACTTGTTATTTTCCTACTCGAAGGCCCTGGTGGGCAACCCCACCATCAGAGAAGTAAATCCTACTTTACTCTTCCTGACATTCAACATTGATCTGAATTGAGCCTGAGGACACATGTTCCCAGCCTTGTCATATATTTCTCTACCGCATCAAAAGGAACCCTCACTCGCGGTGCCCCAGGTATGCCTTCTTCTCTCTGTCCTCACAGGCCACTTTTTTCCTTGTGATAGCCCTCCACTTCCTCCTAGATCCTGGTCCCGCTCATTCTTAGGAGCCCAGACTTCCTTACCCAGCCTCTAAATCCACCCCACCAGGAAGTGATCTCTCCCTTCCCTATCCATGCTGCACAACGGTCTGCACCCCTCATATTGCCCTTAGGAAAGGCTGCCTTGTACCCTTGCCCTTTCCTGTGAGTTTAGGGGAAGGGCATATCTAAAAAGGCAGATGGTCAGAAGTGGGTTGAAAATGGGCTGTAGTGAGTCAGGATCCAGCTCACATGCTGCTTGAGGGCCTCTTATGATTTTTAAAGGCACATCTCCCAGAAATCTCCGAGTTTCAGAAGGAGCTGTTTGCAGATTGACTCAGAGATGAAGCTTCTTTTTGTCTGCACAAAAATTAGGGCAGAAATTTCATTGTCCCCTCCTCTGCTTATTCTGCTTACATGTAGTGAGAGCAACTTTAACACCATTTTTATGGAGCTATCAATAGAGAATATTGACCCCGTTTTCCTAAAGACTCACAAGAGAGAGATCAGTCACCTCACTGGTACACACCTGACAGCCAGATCATACAGGCCTTTACCTTTATTGTCCCTGAGCAATTTCAGTGCATCAATATAACACGTAGCTACCCTTAAAATTAAGTTAATCACAGTAGCTTTTAAATATAAGTAGATTTTTGAAGACAATAGCATTATATGAAAGTAAAAACTATTTTTAAAAAGAAATGAAAAATGTGCACGTATTAATTTTAACAATAAAGACATGAATTCTAGAAAGCAGACACCCCAAGCTTCTGACCTAATCAATGTCCTGTTTTCGTGCACCAAGAGGGCACTAGGGATAGCAACAAAGCCCAAGGTCCTTCAGGTGGTACGAGGGGAGAAGACAGGAGGAAGCATTTTACCAGCCAGGAGCTCTTATACAAGACTGTGATATCCAGAATATTGTTTTCTATGTTCCCTTTAGAAATCACTTCCATAGTGTTTTGTTCTGAGCCTCCATATTTAGCAATTCCTCCTGCATATTTCTTCATTGCTGTTTCAAAGCTCATCCCATAGCAGAGCTTGAGACAGCTATTCCTCTCCCTCACTTCTCTAGCATATTCTATATGGGTTGCAAACATCGTTCCCAGCATGGCAAAATCTGCTCCACATCCAAAGGTTTGGCTGCATAGTGTGGACCCAAGTGGCCACCATCTAAGATGATTTGTCCTTTCAGAGCACAAGTAAACACAACACAATAGGTCTTTGTTCTACGGAGGGTAGTCTACTCCTGTCCTGATAAGTAGAACACGAAAACCTGATTTCCAATTACACTGTTATCTGTTTCAGAAAGTAAACTCTTCTACCATCCCTCCCCACTATGTTCCCTGTTATTTGGAAATTTGGCATGGATAAGTTTCAGAAGTTCATAGACTATTCAGAATAGCAATTGGCCACGTCTAAGCAAATGAACTGAACTCAAAGCACAACTTCTATGATTCTTTTCCTCCCTTCCAGGTGAGATTCTGCCCACTTCCTGAACTCACAGCTAAATACTACTACACCCATTGTGGATGATGGTGGCGAAGAGTTTTGAGTTATCTGGGCATAATGCTTATGACTAATTTCTGTGAACCTGAAATGCTGTGCCATAACCACTGCCATTCCAAATGTCCTCGTGGTATCCACGTTGGCCACAGTAACAGGAGTCCTTGGGCCGGACTGCTTAGACTTTTAATATGTGACAGTATGCTTAAAATCCACCTCAGCTAGATTCTCTAGATGGCTTTGTGTAATTAAGCCTTGAGATCCGCATCTATGTAGAACCTCTTGTTGGGTTCAGGGGAGGCACACTTCAGCTGTACTGAAGCTTAGGCCAGGCAACTTTTTCCTGTGGCAGAAGCTGAGTGGGGAGAGAGTGCCCTTGCTGTAAGGCTGAGTGCTTTTATTCATTTTTTTTAAGATTTTATTTATTTATTTATTTGACACATAGAGAGAGAGAGCACAAGCAGGGGGAGAGGCAGAGGGAGAAGGAGAAGCAGACTCTCCGCTGAGCAGGGAGCCCGATGCAGGGCTCGATTCCAGGACCCTGGGATCATGACCTGAGCCGAAGGCAGACGCTTAATGACTGAGCCACCCAGGCGCCCCAGCTGAGTGCTTTTAAAAATTAAATTGATAATGAAAAGAAAGTCTGTGCTGGCCTCTTGATGCTGCCTTGCTTGCCTGCTCTACATTATCCTTTAGACCCTGTACTTTCCCAGCCTGACACTTTCACCCTGTTTTGTTGGCTTTCCACTTTGTGTCCCTCACTTATCTGAAAATGCCATCAGCACAAAAACTTTATCTGGTTCAACTTTGTAACCATTCCAGTGTTGGAACATTAAGTTGGTGGAAACAATTTAAATGTGCACAGATATGGGAA